AAACGATATTAGATTAACGAGGTTAAAAATGAGTGAGATGATCTTATCGCCTACCACTGCGACATAGATGGATCTATTGTGGCTCATGTCTAACTTATAGTTCACCTTACAAGCCACACCTTTTGATGAAGGACCTGGATCTTATGAAGGACCTTATACGGGGTAAGCTCCAGTTGTTGAATTTAAAGAACTATAATCTAGATCTTTTCAAACTGGAGCAGGTACATAGAATGTGCTCTGCAGATTCGTCTTGAAATTTATGACTATCTACGATGCGGGCGTTGTATTCAGATCCCTTCGCCAGTAGGTATTACATCTCTAGAGTAAGAATGAAATAAGTTTAAAATACATAAGAGGAAAGTGTTTCAGAATTTTCGTTCAATCTCAAGAGCAAGAATGTTTTTTTCTGTTGTTATAAGTGGTCTCGGAAGTAGCGACCGTGGAGAAATTGATTTTAAAATATTTAAAATAATTAAAACAATTTATGTAACACTGACAATTTAAAATTATAGCTGTATAAAACTAAAATGTAGGAATAATAAATATCTTTTTTTATCTTTGATTTGTTTAACCTTTTTTAACTTTTTACTTTTTTCCACATTTAATTTTTTTTGTTTTTGCCTTATACTTTTTTCTTTATTGATTTAGTCGAGAAGTTTATAAATGCCTATTCTTGGTAATTCTATTATTTTTTGAATAGTTTTCGAATTTTTTTCGTTTATCGTCTCGTTTACATTTTTTAGCATTTAATTTAATAAGAAATGAATCGAGAGTATTTACAGTGTGTAAATTGAGTTTTATTAATAAAACTCTGTAAAAATTAGTCTAAGCGCTTTCAGCCTATTAGGCCATCATCAGACTCTACAAAAGAGAGAAAAAAACGGAGCTGTAACAATATAATCAACTCGTAACATTACTAAACAATGAATAAAAAAATTGAACACTTACTCGTCAATAACTATAGAAGAAGCATGAAAATTCAACTAAATTAAAAAGGACAGCAACAAACCGGTCCCCAGTCTCCACCAAAGCTTGCAGCTTGGATAATAGAAAATAAAACAACCACACCGAAAATGTGGTTAAATTTTAAGAAATGACGTGGGGGTTCATCCCAACAAGTAAAACTGAACACTTCCAACCATTCAAAGGCAGAGAAACTGCTGGTCTTCAACATGAAGACAGCCAGATTTTTCAAGTTGCTACCGTGAGGCGGAGGCAAGTTGGGGCACAAAAAATAGTAGTAAGTACACGATATTTTTGAGAACGTGACCATCTGGAGAGTTTAAAAAAAAAACTGAGTGACAATTGACATTTAACAATGAAGTTGTCAAGAAAATTGCTAACTTGAGAGATTGAAATGAATTTCGTGAAAAATTGTCAAAAGTTAATATTGAAAATGATAAAAGTGGGTTGGTACCACTGATCTAGCAAGATCAAGTTATGGCGGGACTTTTAAATTTTAAACATCAAAAGATTACAATGATTAGATAGAATTATAAAATATACAGTGAATGAAGGTAAAAAACATATTTTTTATAAAAATTATTAGAAATAAAAGGTGCCAGACTGAAAACAACAGAATTGAGCATGCCGACCCCAGCAAAACCGAAGTAGCAGGCAGACCAACTTTTCCAGCTAAAAGAGGAGGAAAAACCGTCCTGGCCACGAAATCAGCAATCGCCGGAGAAGACAAGATCAATTCCGCTGCAAGAAGATTCAAGGCAAAGCTGGTTAGGTAACTACAGACCAACCGTTGCCAATACTCTTAAAGAGAGGAGGCACTTTGCTTTTGAGATGGATTTGAGTGTTAACACATGTGACATTAGTTTTATTAAACTCTCTGTGTATCTCAAGGTCTTCGAGCAGATTTAATTTAAAGTTGTAATTAAAAATATTATGAAGAACAGTGACATTCTCAGAAAGAGTGAAATTGTGATTGTTGAATTTAATATGATGTCCAAAAGTAGACTTATCTGGATATCTGATGTATTCACCAGCTCGTATGTTGAGTCTCCTCTAAGTTTTTCCTATATAAGATGTATTGCAATCGTTACAGCTTAATCTATAAATACCACTTTTGTGTAGCAACTCGATTTCATCCTTAGTATGTGATAGTTGGCTTTTAATCGAATTAACATTTTTAAAGGCAATTTTAATATTGTTGCAATCCTTAAAAACTGCAGCGACATCATTGAAAATTTTCCCGAGATAAGGTAGTGAAAAGTATTTAAAATTTGCAGGAGGATCGTTAGTAGGATTAAAAGCAAGTTGGGACCTTTTCTTTAGTTTAACCTTATTAATAACCACGTTAATAATAGAAGCATTGTAGTTGTTATTAAAGGCTAATTGTTTTAAAACGTTGATTTCTTAATTAAAATTATGATTAGATAAAGGTATATACCTTTATCTAAGTGTTCAAGTTTTTTTATTCATTGTTTAGTAATGTTACGAGTTGATTATATTGTTACAGCTCCGTTTTTTTCTCTCTTTTGTAGAGTCTCTGATGATGGCCTAATAGGCTGAAAGCGCTTAGACTAATTTTTACAGTTTTATTAATAAAACTCAATTTACACACTTTAAATACTCTCGATTCATTTCTTATTACCCTGTGTGTACACACCACTGAATCTCTTCATTTAATTTAATGCTTTTAGTGCTAGAAAATTGAAACCTCCTTGTCTGACTGATTTGATTATAAATGAAAGTATATACATTTCTCTTTGTCTTGTATTGTAATCGTATGCTTCGGTCAATACAGTGATCTTTGTCCGAAATTGTGTACTGCAGATCTGGAAAAAGAATAGTTGACGGCAATCTAATATTTTACAGTCTCTATATAGGTCAGTTTAGTAAAGCCGGTCTTTATTTTACATCATTTTTAAGAATCTTCTTTGAAGAACTTCTAATCAATTCAGGTAAGTTCGAGCTACTACTCCCCCAGCCTATGATTCCATACTTGATTTGTGATTCTACTAAACTTTCATGTACAATTTTCTTTTGCTTATTTGGATGGTTTGTGCGAACTTGATTGTCTGAAGTAGAGTACACATTTTATGAATGAATCCGTACTAACTGGTACTAACAATCATTAATAATCTGATGTGTCCAACACATGACTTTCCTATCTAGTTATTACAGGCTTTTTCCTGTTATTTTGTACAACCTATTGCAGCACCTCCATAAATGTTTAGAGGATAAAATAAATATATACATTTTCCACATACATCTACCTCGAAACATTTTTCTATAGATGTTCATTGAAAATGAAAATACTGAAAAATTTTTCCATTACGATCCATTTTAGAAAAATCATGTATAAACAAAAATTATAGAGATGGATATCCCAAACAACTTTTATTTGAACAATTTTCATAAAAATCAGAATTTTGCACATTTTGTCAAATTTCTCGAATACGGACCAGTTCAGGAAATTTTGACATAAAACAAAAATTATAGATAATAATATTAGAAATAACTTTTATTTGAACAATTTTCTTCTCCAAACATAAATAACAGATATATTCCATAAAATATAAAAACGGCCTCCCATAAAGTACCCCCCCCAGATGTTCAGACTTTGTCCAAAATCTAATCATTTCACGTCAGGCTGAAATAAATTTTAAGTTTAAAATTTAATGTTTTTTTCTTTATCCGTTTTTGAGTGTTCTTCAAAATTCGAAATTTACACATTTTCTCAAATATCTCGAATACGGTCCATTTTAGAGAAATTATGTATAGAATAAAAATTATAGAGAATTATATTACAAACAACTTTTGTTTGAACAATTTTTATAAAAAAATATTTTTTTACATTTTGTCAAATTTCTCGAATACAGACCATTTTAGGAAAATTTTGTATACAACAAAAATTATAGATAATTATATTAGAAGTAACTTTTATTTGAAGAATTTTCTTCTACAAACGTAAATAACAGATATATTCCATAAAATATAAAAATGACCACCCATAAAATATCCCTCCAGATGTTCCGACTCTGCCCAAAATCTAATCAGTTCATAAGACTCTGGAATAAACCCTAAGTTTAAAATTTGGTGTTTTTCTGTGTATCGGTTCATGAGTTATGCGACATACAGACACACACACACACACACACACACACACACACACACACACACACACACACACACACACACACACGGACACACACGGACACACACGGACACACACGGACACACACGGACACACACACGGACACACACGGACACACACGGACACACACACACATCATCGCGAAAATAGTCAAAACGGATTCAGGGGACCTCAAAACGTAAAAATCCGTCGAAAACTCGAGGTCGAAAAAAATCATGATTCCTATACTTTCCTTATATCTGTATACAGATAGGAAAGTAAAAATGCAAATCGTCGATCTAAAGTACACATATTGTAACTCCAAATTTAATGTTATAACGATCTTGGTACCAATTAAATCGCATTTTAGTCTTCTTTATTGGGTACAAACATTGTAGCTCCAACATGGCTCCAACACCCACCAAACTACAATAAATTCAAATTAAAACTGAGAATTAAGGCACTTAATTACACTTTCTAGAAGTTTAAATTTGCGATTGTCCAAAAATGCGTTTTTGGATATACAATAAGTGTGCTTTAGACCGACGAAATATACTTCCTTAATGTGATTTTGAAAGCCTGTTTATCTTTTAGAGCCTTATGTTAAGTCAATTTCGAATTATAGCCATAAACCATCTTTGTAAAAGTTAGAACGCATTAGGCAATCGCGGTCCACAACTGGACCAGACCAGACCGACTGTGATATCGATGTTGGCGTCAAAAATATTATATTTTATCAATAAATAGCAATAATTATCTCTGATGGGCATACTTTGTTGTATCTCACGCGTTTTTTTCTAAAAGTGTATCTATCGAGTATTTGATATTTAATCAAACATTCAGTCAAGATTTTCTTTAATTAGGCTAACTTAATCACTACCAAAACAATACTACTATTTTTTAATTTCAGATATTTCAACTACGCGCTCACGTCTACCAAGCGAGGTCCCTGATCGGAAGCGATGCATCCGGACTTTCAGATCCTTTCGCTAGGATAATTGCCGGCGAATTTAGCAAAACGACGCAAGTTATCGACGAAACTTTGAGTCCAACATGGGACGAGCTGCTAATATTCGAGGAAATTTTAATTTACGGAGATGGAGACGAAATTAAAAATGACCCACCTCCAATACTAATCGAAATTTTCGATCAAGATAAAGTTGGGAAAAGCGAGTACATTGGAAGAACTTTGGCTAAACCGAATGTTAAACTTAAAGAGGATGCGTATACTAAGCCGAAGTTCCCGCCCTCTTTGGAATGGTAAGGGAAAACTTATTTATGTATTTAGCTGAAATTGATACCCTGAATATTAGGTTCATCAGAAATTCATTTACTAAAACAACATTTCCACCCTAATTAAAATGTTAAAGAATTATTTTAGTATCGAGTGGAATTCAAGACTGTACCTGTGCGTCGCCGACAATATTTCGAAAGTAGAATTATTGAAAGTGTTTCTATATCGATATCGCGCCTAATATAAGAAATGTTTTAAAGAATTTGACGCTGATCTCAGATCCGTTTTCAAAATTATTAAATGTTATGTAGTTTTGAGTTATTTAAAAAAAAATAGGAAACTAAAAATGGTCTTCTCTTATTTTTTCGAGTTATCTACCGTAACTTTGCTATTTCTTGTGGCACCCATCTTGAAGTTTTTATAATAATATTACCCTTGAATTTACCTTTTAAACGATGTGTCACATTAATAAGAAACTAATATTTTACTTAATTTGGCAACACTGCTTCCATCTAAAATAGCATGTGGTATAAGAAATTCATCACAAAAAAATGTTTCCAAAGTAGGCCATAACTAACACTTAGTCTTATTCCTAATAATTGGAATTATCTAAAACAAGTTTTTAATGACATTTTAAACGACCCAAATTCTGATCAGGGTTTAATATATTTAACTACTTTGAATTTGTTCTTCTATCATTTTTAACGAATTTTTTTCCATTAGCGATGTACTTCTTGATGTATTGCAGAAACGTTCTTTAGATATAAATTACTGTGTATCTCAAATTAAAAATGCGCAGAATCAACTAAACACTAAAAGAAGTGAAGTTATTTTTGCAAATATAATTGATTCAGTTTCCCTAAGAACAGAACTGCCCACTGAGCACCGTGATGGGCGCATAAGATAAGTATTGACAAGAGATCAAATAAAAAATTCTGGACACAATTTTAGAACAAATCAACACTTGCTTTCAGGATACTGATAAGCTTCATTTCGTAACATTAATGGACACTTTCAAATTTTCTGTATATTCGGATAGCTTTCCTACAGAAGCACTAAATAATTTAGTTCAAATGTATCCTAGTAAATTAAATGACCTACAAAGGTTAAAAAATGAGTTAGAGTTTATTTACAGTGATAAAAACTTTATAAATATTGACATCGATAAATTGTTGGAAAAACTATTTGAGAATAGTGATATTTTCAAAGCTTATAAGGTATATTGCTTAATCTTAACTATTCCATCCACTAGTGTTTCAGTTGAACGTAGTTTTTCTTGTTTAAAACGAATTAAAACATATCTACGAAATACAATAACATAAGATCGACTTAGTAAAAATTTCAATTGAAAAGACACTCTTACGATCAGATCCATTTTTTGATGATATAATAGATAATTTCGCAAGTTTAAAGGATAGGAGAATCGACCTTACCTATGTACAAAAAATAGAAAATGTCGATTTTTTTTTGTATTTTATTTTCCACGCGTCACCTACATTCAAACTCACGAGCCGCAACTGTTTTGTGGATCGTTCCTTATATCTACTAAAATGTAGAAATGCCTGAAATATTCATTGGCTACCATGTAAAGATATGCATATTTATTTTTACGATATTATAATATTTTGTAACACAAACCTAATTAGTTTGTTACTTTATGAAATTATTTAAACCATTATTAACATGGTAATGAGATTAAGAACACGTGTCTTCTTCGGTAAAACGATGGAAAATATTGGTTCGACTTGTTTATAATTTCGTTTACTTTTACTTAAATCTTTTGATTTAGGTAAAATAAAGGGTTCAGAATCAAAATTTCAATGCTGCTTTAGCTATTGAAATAATTAAATTAGTACTTTAATTTTACAGAGGAATCATTTTATGCAAAAACATTTAAGCTTCTTAAGGTATTTAATATAGAGCACAATCTTTACAAATATATGTGTTTAATTGATATACCGTGAAACATGGAAATTTTGCGAAATGTTAAAACTTTATTAAATTTAAATTTATTATAAATATATTTTAACGAAAAAATGATTTATTTTAAAAAAGTTTTTATGAAAAATGTGTGCCGTTTTGGCATTTGCAAACATTTTCATAACTGGGTGATTCTCGGATAACTGTGATTTTTTATGTCCAGTGTTTTATTTATCGTTTAGCATAAGTTTTCTTCATCAAAAAGTTATTAATATTATAAATTTAGAGGTATTTCACAACAGACATTATGAATTAGATCATAAACCTTCGTAATTTTTTTTAAGCTGCATATAAATATACTCGAAATGTCCGTGGCATGTCCGATTCTCATTTTTGAAATTAAATATATAAATTTCTATCAAAATTCATTTTCTAATATAAAATTTACCTCTTATAACTACAATTCAATGCATATTGCATTGAATTTTATTGCAATTTTATGCCAATCTTGCGATTGGTAAAAAAAAATAATCATTTATATGTCAGTACCGTGGAAATAATGTCAGTACCGTGGCATTAAAAATTTTAAATTTTGTCACAGTTTTCGTTGTGTCGTAGCTGTAGTAGAACCACTTTGCAGGCTTTATTCTGTGCATAAATAGAAAAAAAAAACGCGTAAAACATACGTTTTAAAACATTTTTAACTTTAGAAAAATGTAAGTTGTAAAAATCACACTTACACGAGAATCACCCAACTATGACACATCTCAAAATTGTTTTGAATGTTGTTGTTTTAAAAGTTAAACCCTGAGAAATATTATTTTTCAATGTTTATATTCTAATAATTGTTTTTTATTAGATTTTCTTCGCCAATAAATGTATCTTTTTTATTATTAGTACCATAAAGTGTCCTACATGAAATAGTTAGAAATAATAGAATCTACAGACATAAAAACTGCATGTGCGGGAAAACAATGATTGCATAGTAATACATTGTTGCTCTATTTACTTTTTTTAGATAAATATTTATGGTATGTTTAATAAACACTAGTGAAACTTTTAGATTATTACCTACTCCGAATATGTTTATTGTTACTTTTTCATATAAAATGATTTAAAAAATAATCTTTTCAAATACCATTCGTCCTTTTAAATTGTATCTATGATATCCCACATTTTTAATGGGTTTTTCACACCGATAGAATTTCTTAGCTAAAATTAACAAATTCTGCTACATTATAATTAGATTTTTGTATTATATTTACCTGCTTCCATTTATTATTTTGTTGTTACAATTATTTTATAGTAATAAATTTTATTGAATGTTATTTAATGTTTTATGTATGAATTAGAATTATCTGCCTAAATTCCACTCGGAGCGCTTGGTTCTCGGCTTATACACTCCTATTCCAGTTCCTTCTATGGTTTTGGAACCGTCCGTATACCACTAAATAGCACGTCTTTCGGTTGCAAGCGCGATGGATTCTTGGCTCCATTCTTTCTTGCAGCCCAGCTCTGTGGTTTTGAAGTTTTTCACAAAACTGTACTTCTTTTGCATTTCATCCTGGGGCATGTCCCAGGTATCTTTAGTCCTGAAGCAAGTAGACTTTCATCTGATTACTCCGTTCCTGATCATTCTATATCGTGTCCTTTTTGCCACATTCTCTATCATCAAATGTAGAAAGCCTTCTGGACTAGTTCGTCGGCCTTTTCATTTCCATGATATCCCTCGTGGACTGACACCCAGGCTAAGGGCACTTGTTTTGAATACTTAGCTTTACCAGGTCATGTAAGCAGACTTTCATCAGTCGTGATTTGATTTATGGTGAGAGAATTGCTTTTAGAGCTGCTTGGCTATCAGAATAGATTGCAATAGTTTTGTCACTTACTGTCTTGTATTGCTATTAGGTCAACCTGGAACATTTTACATATTCTCCTAGAAATCGTTTTTATCTTAAGTCCAATGATTCAAGCACCATCTCCTTCCTTGGATTTTGAACCGTCGTCTGTATACCAGACGAGTTCAACCTGTATGGAAGGAATAATATTTTAGAATGATTTTAGGAAATCGGATAAAAATAAGGTTCTTATTTACAAAGAATGGTTATTTCATATGTTTTAATGAGCCAAAATTAATGTTTATAGATAGATACTTATAAAATTGTATGCGTAAATATAACGCTTCTCGTTCAAAACCAGAATGTTAGTGATAAGGAAAGTTATAGTTTATCTTATACCTAGTACATAAGTTTTAGTAGTTTTAAACTCTTCAAAATAGCGAGTATTTTTAAACAAAAATGTAATGCACTTAAATATGTATAATACAGAACTCTTAACGCTTCGAATGTTTTATTTAACTCCTTAGAAAGAGAGTCTAGATCGAAATAAAAAACTAATGATGCGTCGAGATAGATTCCAAAGCATTTAACAGTCTGTGAAAACGGTATTAGACGATTATTTAATAAATTATTATCAAGTGTATCTAGTTTTGAAAAATTGCACTGGTTTTATCAGGTTTTAAAATTGGTTTAAAAACCATCCTTCTACCGTAGGAAGCATATAGCATACCAGAGTATCTATTCTTGAATCTTAGGGAGTAAAAAATTTGAGGGAAAATGAGATAAAAATACAAATTTTGTGCGTTGCAGATAAAGAGGAAAAACCGGTTTTCTACTCCCTCGAATTCAAGAATAGCTACCCAGGTGAATGCAGCACTCCTTATAATTTTTGGCAAGGTTATTTCAAAAAGTAGTTATGTTAAAAAACTAAAATTTTGGGAAAATAAATCAGGCAATAATATCTAGAATATGTATATATTTTAAAGTTTTAATTCCTCCCGGATTCCGAGAAAAAAAATCAAAGGGCTTTAAATTTTGAAATATCATAGTAAAAATAAATTCATTCCTCAACAGCACTATTCTTATTATAATCCCAAAATTTGAGCCTTCTAATGTCTTGTTAATGATCATTCGTTTTCTGCAATGATTTACACCAGTTTACACCAGAAGATAGCACTTAGCGAGGTGTTTTACCCACTAATTTTGGCGAATTTCAAAAAATTGTTAACAAGACATTAAGAGCTTAAATTTATGGATTATATTAAGAATTGTGCTGTTGAAGAATGCATTTATTTTCATTATGATGTTCCAAAATTTAAAGCTCTTTGATTTTTTCTCGGAAACTGAAAGGAATTAAAACTTTAAAATATATGCATTTTCTAGATATTATTGCCTAATTTATTTTGACAAAATTTAAACTTTTTAAAAAAGATATTAAGATATCCTTGTCCGAAAATTATAAGGGTTTCTGTAATCACCTTAAGGTTATTTCAGGAAAATGAGATGCTTCAACAAAATTTGATTTTTTGTTCTTTTTAAAAACATTACTTAGGTAATTTATGTAACTTTTGCAAATTAGTTTTGTTATCTTGTAATTTTAATGTATGTTTGCGGCTAATGATATATATTTTGATCCAATTTAGTTCTTTATTTCTAACTCCGTACTGTAGTTTTTATATAAAATATTTAAATCAATATAGTAAAAACACTGAACAGATCAAAATACATTTCAGAGGAAACATTTATAAATTTTGGTAGGCAGTTCAAGTATTGCACTTTCTGTGTTCCTTGTGGCAAAGAAACCCTGTCGACAGGCACTAAACAATTGTTAATTTATAAAAAAATTAAAATAGTTTACTCAATTTAATGAAAGCTAAAATATTTTGGAAAAAGAGCTAAGGAGAGTGATACGTCTAGAATTATGTAACAAATTTGAATCCCCTTTTTTAAAGTAAGGGATAATAATTGCATGTATGACATTTAAAGCAAAATTATCTGTATTTAATGATGCTTTGATTATATGGGCCTAATCTTTTTTGCACATAGGAGGTTGCAAGTTATATTACACTGATTGTCTATGCAGCGAATAAAAACACAAGCCCCATATGCTTTCTCGGAGGCATCCGAGAAACCATGTATTTCAATACAATTATATTGACTTGCTGTTACTTGCCTAGAAATTTTAAAATTATTAATAACTAATATTTCCGATGAAAAACGACGCCATCTATCTGCTAGTTCACTTGAAACCTCTGTTTCACATTCATATTTTTTCAGCCACAATTCTTGTATTATTAATTTAGCTATTATTATTATGGGTCCCAATATTGCCAATGGATCATAAATTTGACACAGTATACCTAATATTGTGCATTTTGTACATATTATATTAATTTTTACGTTAATAAAGTATTTTATTTCATCATTGGAAGGATCCCAGTAGATCCCTAATGTTTTACAAGGTTTGTTTTCACCGATATGTAGTAAATTTACATAACTTCCTTATTATTAGATAGCCATTTGTAGTAATTCCATGTAGAAATCCCGTTGAATTACTCTACTTGCTTGTGAAAACTGCGATTCATGTTCAATTCCTAATTGCAATTAACATTTAACAGCTAAATAGAGAGCAGAAGCGGTTCCATAAGCGACAGTATTTAATTATAAGCATTCCAATTCTTTACTATAGGCTGTGAACGCAAAAATAATTTTAAATATTTTCTTTGTGATTTGTCAATTAACATTTGCCTGTGCATTTTTGATATGTATGCGGTCATAACGTAATTATATTTTTGAAACCTCATTAATATAGTGAATATATCTTACTGTAAGGTAGTTTCTATAAATTGGACATCATTTAATGATAGTCCAGTAGACGTGCTGGCTGATGTGTCAAATAAAACCCTTCAACGCGTGGTTAAACTAGCCGATTTAATGACAGCATGATGTGTTACAAAGTAGACCTCATCATCGTCCTTGTTATTTCTAATTTTCGACACATGACCCAGATCTTTATATTCCTTCATAAATTTGCAATACTGAACCTTTAGCGAATTATTGTTTTTTAATTTTCGTTCTAATGACCTATTTAACCTATTTAATGCTACCTGTGATGAACCTAACTTTTTTAAATTATTTTTAAACGGAATATTAACTATAAACCATCCCGATTCATTTCGGGATTCACCAACTTTTTACTGCTTTTTTGAACTAATTATTTACTTATTCGGCTTCTTAGGACCAATGTTATGAATAATGTAACGTAAACTTAGTTTTAATAATAAAATCATCAAAATGGACTGTAATAATTTTAATTTCTTGTAATCAAAAACTTCGAACAACTAAACACGTCTTACAACATTGCGAATCTTATGAGTGTCTCTTTACGGTGTTGCTACGTGCACTTAATTATCCGACAGATACTTCTTCAAATATCTTCTCTGTAGTGACTTTTCTAAATAAGAAATTGCTTTGGCAATAAATAATATATAAAAATCCAAGATGGTTGGCCTAAGAAATAACAAAGTTGCGTTAGGTAACAGAAGACAAATTGGATTTTTTTTTACTAAAATAGTAGCTATTAGATAGTGTCTTGAGAATGTAACATATTAGAATATATCAAACTAACGGTTAAGACGTCATTACAGAACTAAAAACAAAATCAGCATTTTTAAACCGTTCTGAAATAACTTAAAAACTAAATAATATTTAATAATTTTGAAAAGGGATTCGGGAACAGCATCAAATTCTCGACCTTCTACCGATATTAAGACTGGAATTTCGGAGACACTGTATAAATACATATAAATTATTACTTGACAAGTAATTTTTAGCGCCTTCGTACTAAAATTATTCATTTTTTTTTGTCAATTAATACCGATCATTATTATTCCAGGTTTACTATTACACGTGGTACAGACAGAGCAGGCGAACTACTAGCGGCCTTCGAACTTTTAGAAATCGACGTAGAAGCTTCTCTACCTTCTCTTCCTCACCCTAAAGACATTCCAATGTACCATGAAACGGATCCCAAGAAGATCGAACCACTTCTGCCGGTTCCCAGAGGAATTCGGCCAACGTTAGCTAGATACAGAATTGAAGTCCTCTTTTGGGGGCTTAGAGATTTGAAAAGGATACACTTGTTGACTGTGGATAAACCAAGAGTTGATATAGAATGTTCGGGGAATATTTTGTACTCAAGTATAATTCAGAATAGGAAGAAAAATCCGAATTTTAGTACACCTGTTAAGTTTTTGGATTTGGATCTGCCCGAACAAGAATTGTATAGGTAAGATATTTCAATTTTCTGTTATAATTAGTTACAAGTTATGACTGTTACCTTCAATGGTTTGGAGTCTGTAATGTGTTGACAAATGTGAGCTTATAGACAGAGATAAGGGACATACAGATAGGAAACGCTCATATCAAGCCTATGTTTAACAACGACAATCACGAACGCAGTTAACATCTGATCCACTATGTGTCGCTTTCATCGATATCAAACAACGCAGCGGGAAATTAAAAAACCTGATAATAATGGTTGTATAAGTAAAAAATTTATTTTTTTACGCAAGAATCGTACATGATAAGAAAGTAAGTCTATGGACCAAATTTCTTCCAAATGAGGATTTCAAAATAATTTAAATTTTTAAAAAAAGCAGTGGCGCACCTTTTTTTCCAAAAAGATTCAATTCAAACCACGTACGAATGTCACTCCTAAAAATCAAAAAATGCTCTTTAATGATTAAAAGATGTGTACAAAATTTCATAAAAATATCTAGTGATTAAAAAGTAATTTTTTTCTTAAAACTGTAACACCCTGTAGCTCAAAAATTAAGAGGTTTACGACATGTGGTGATATTAACTTTTTTTTTTTCTTAAAATCACCAAAGGAATCACCCCCTTAAATATCAGTACTCAATTATTGATTTATTTAGCAAAATAAGGTAAACTCTCAATGTTGTTTAATTTTCAAACTCGCAATTTCGTTTATTTACTTTGAAGTTTGTCAAGAAATCTGAGGGAATGGTAAATCTACCGTAAACCTGGAATTTCCAATTTCAGAGGTATTGAATTCTAAATTCTAAACTAACCTAGTTCGACAGATATCTTATCTAATATATTTACATAGAGAACGCTAAAAAGAATAAGTTGAGATCAAAGGGTAAGAACAAGAGAACAAGAGACGACATTTCATTTATCGTTTCAATGGTTCGCTATGATCTTGTCCTTTTATATTATTTGTACAACAGTGTTTTCGTGATTTTTAACAGACTTCAAAAAAGGAGGAGATGGAGGTAATAATATATTTTTTTTTTTGATATGTCTGTTCAGCGATAATTTTTCCCCACTGTCCAATGTCTATGGTTTTTTTTGTTAGAAAGGAGGTACCTCAGAGGTGGGCCCATATAAATTTAGTCAAGATCTAATAATGGACTCCATGAGAAAACCTTTAAATCTTTAATTTTATATGTATGTTCAGCGATGTCTTTACCACGTTATCCGATATATATAAATTTGTTAGAAAGGGAGTTCCTCAGGATAAGAAAATTTCATAGCAATCGATCAAAACAAAGAACACCGCACTTTCCTTTATATGAGACTGGTATACTGTTGTACTCAACCTAGTAACTAGTGGCGGCTCGTCATAATTTAAAATGGATGTTTCAATAATTTTATCATTTGTAAGGTCGGTTCAAAACTGTTTTTTTTTATTTGGGTTTGTAATAAGTGTAGTTATTATTATCAATATCATACTGCTTTCAATTAATGAATATTTTAGTTATTGTAATATTTGTTTTGTGTGTGTGTGTGTGTGTGTGTGTGTGTGTGTGTGTGTGTGTGTGTGTGTGTGTGTGTGTGTGTGTGTGTGTGTGTGTGTGTGTGTGTGTGTGTGTGTGTGTGTGTGTGTGTGTCTATGCGTGTCTGTGTATATCTGTGTGAGTCTGTGTGAGTCTGTGTATGTCTGTGTGTGTCTGTGTGTGTCTGTGTGTGTCTGTGTGTGTCTGTGTGTGTCTGTGTGTGTCTGTGTGCGTGTCTGTGTGTGTCTGTGTGTGTCTGTGTGTGTCTGTGTGTGTCTGTGTGTGTCTGTGTGTGTCTGTGTGTGTCTGTGTGTGTCTGTGTGTGTGTCTTTGTGTGTCTGTGTGTATCTGTGTGCGTGTCTGTGTGTGTCTATGTGTGTCTGTGTGTGTGTGTCTTTGTGTGTCTGTGTGTATCTGTGTGCGTTTCTGTGTGTGTCTATGTGTGTCTGTGTGTGTGTCTGTGTGTGTCTTTGTGTGTGTCTATGTGTATCTGTGTATGTCTGTGTGTGTCTGGGTGTGTCTGTATGTGTGTCTGTGTGTGTCTGTGTGTATCTGTGTCTGTATCCTCGATAACTCATGAACGGATACAAAGAAAAACACCAAATTTTAAACTTAAGTTTTATTTCGGTTTTCAGTGAACTAATTAGATTTTGGGCAGAGTACCCCCCCAGGAACTTTATAGGAGGCCGTTTTTATATTTTATGGAATATATCTGTTATTTACGTTTGTAAAAGAAATTTTTTCAAATAAAATTTACTTATGATATTATTACCTATAATTTTTGTTTTATACAAAATGTTCCTAAAATGATTCGTATTTGAGAAATTTGATAAAATGTAAAAAAAAATGTATAAAAATTGTTCGAATAAAAGTTGTTTGTAATATAATTCTCTATAATTTTCATTTTATACATAATTTCTCTAAAATGGACCGTATTTGAAATATTTGAGAAAATCTGTAAATTACGAATTTTGAAGAAAACTCAAAAACGGATGAAGGAAAAATATATAAAATAAAATTATTTATGCTATTAATGATACAATGCTGAAGAAATTGGTTGAGATGGTAAATTCAGCGAAATGTTTTACTGTTCTGGCAGATAAAACGACAGATGTCCCAACGCAAGCACAAGCACCAATCGGTGTGAGATAGCTACATAATAATGGCATTAGAGAAGATTTCCTTTAGTTTGTACCTGTTTCTGATTTAACAGGTAAGAACCTTGCGACAATCATTTTAAATTCCTTACGGGAGTTTGGAATCGATACAAAGTTTTTGAGGGAACAAGGATATGATGGGGCCTCAGCAGTGAGTGGAAAATTCATCGGAGCACAGGCCTATGTAACGAAAGAGCATCCGACTGCAATATATGTCCATTGTGCATCCCATAGCTGAAACCTTGCTATAAGTGCATCATGTTCAGTTTCTGAGATTATAAATTGCAGTGGGACTGCAACAAAACTCTGCGTGTTCTTTAACACTCCAAAAGAGCAATTGAGAAAATGTTACCTGAAGCCAAATCTACCCGTCTAAAACAACTCTGCCCAATTAGGTGGGTTGAGCGCCATGATTCCATAATACAACTTTAAGAAATGTTACCTGCTGTCAATGAGGCTCTTGAAGAAATTTCAAAGTGGTAGGATCTAGAATCAGATTCGATGGCATCGCAGCTCTTATGTGCACTTTGGAGTTCATCCTTCATAATTGGTTTACAGTTAATGGGTAAAGTATTTTCCTTAAGCTTACCCCTTGCTCGAGCTTTGCAGCATGAAGATATCGATCTTTTGGATGCCATGGGAAACAATCTTAAAGGGATGATAGAGAAAATAAAATCAAACACTGAACAAGAATTTGCAACAATATTTAAACTATCAGAGACTATGACTGACTTACTCAGTTCCGCAATAAAAACCCCAAGAAGAACTGGAAGACAAACACAGAGGTGCAACATTGAAGCAGACACTCCTGAATCACATTTTAGGATTGCCATATTTTTGCCATTTTTGGATCGCTATTTAAGTGAATTGAATCGTCGGTTTCTAAAATATGAAGAGGTACTGGAAAGTTTTGAGTATTTAATACATACCAGCAATGCTGAAGCCATCAAAACACAGAAAGAAAGTTTAAAAAAACTACTGAATTTATATCAGGAAGATATACAAATTAGTGATGTCGCTGCCATTAGAGAATTTCATATGTGGTACAAGAGGGTAAAAAATTTGAAAATCAGCTTAAGAAAGGCAATTAATTACTACACTGCCTGCCATAAGGATGTTTTTCCCACTATTAACACTCTTCTGAAATTTTTTGCCACTTTTCCCGTGTCCACTAGCAATAGTGAAAGGCCCTTTTCATCTCTACGAAGACTGAGAACTTACTTAAGGGGCACAACTGGCACTGGCCAGCAAAGGTTAAACGGGCTTGCTATGCTTAATATCCACAGAGAGATAGATATCACTGCTAGTGAAGTGTTGGACGAGTTAGCAAAAACACCTCGCCGACTTGAATTTATATTGTCCTGAGTGATTGTGCAAAAACTTCTGTAGAGTGGGGAACAATCGCAATTTTTGACATATATTTTATATTTCAGAATATTTTTCATCTTGTTTGATAATGCAATTTTATTTTATTTTTATGATGAGTTCTTAGTCTTAATTTGTTGTTTATTAAGTTCAGTGAGTTATTGTAACCAATAAATAGGATTACTTGTATTTAGAAGCTATTTCTTGATTGCCCTTCCAAAAATAATATTTATAAACAAAATAATATTTATAACTTCCAAAATAATAATTATAAAAAATTATAATCTATTTATTTAATTTGAAGCTACATGATTATAGTATAATATATATTATACCTGTATTATGAAAAAACTTTTTTTGAAGGAAGTAATATGTTGGTGTGGTTGGGGTAAACCCTCCCCCCCCCCCTATGAGTCAACTCTAGTTACGCCACTGAACGTCACTAAAAATTTCAATACATATTTATTTTTGGTGGATGGCTACATGGCTGCATGGCTCATCCTGCATAAAAAGTACACATAAATATTTTAAGCTTTAAATTGTTAAATCGTAGATATTAATTTAATGAAATAATTTCTCTGTGGCGTCACTATAGAATTATTAGGTGTTTGAAAAATTATATAGTAATTTATTCGTACATCATCTTGTAAAAGTAAATATTTTAAACTATTCCTTTTTATGGAGATCTGATCAAAACATATTAAACTTATATATGCTACATAAAGTGAATCAAATTTTTCAGTTTAGTGAGATTTTGCAAAAACTGTCGTCATACAATTATGAATTAGCCTGTTATTATAAATAGTTTTAATTGTTCGTATGTACTAATAAATTACTAAAACATGTAGTAAACGTGTGTATTTATCAGAAATTTAATCTACTTCATAAGATTAAAAATAAAAATTCCGAAAAACCGTATATCGAAAACTACTCATATAGGATTGAGTTGGACCCATATCACTTTT